CCCTGGACCTCAGCAACCCAGCCGTCTTCCGGGACCTGTCTAAGCCCATCGGTGTGGTGAACCCCAAGCATGCCCAGCTCGTGAGGGAGAAGTGAGCATGCGGGCAGGGCTGGGCTTAGCGGGTAGGGAAAGGTGAGGGGAGGGCTTCTGCTGACATGTCCAACTGTGGCCCCAGGTATGAAAGCTTTGAGGACCCAGCGGGGACCATTGACAAGTTCCACTATGGCACCCACTACTCCAATGCAGCAGGCGTGATGCACTACCTTATCCGCGTGGAGCCCTTCACCTCCCTGCACGTCCAGCTGCAGAGTGGCCGGTACAGCCCAGGGGCTGGTGGGCAGACTAGGGGGCAGACAAGGGGAGGAGGCTGGTCCTCCCCACATCCTGGGCCCACCCTTGGCTCCCTTCTTCCCTCCAGCCACAGCATCTCCCTCCCTGTTCCCATTCTCCACACCTCACCTTGGCCCCATGCCCCTCCCCCAGCTTTGACTGCTCCGACCGGCAGTTCCACTCAGTGGCAGCAGCCTGGCAGGCACGCCTGGAGAGCCCCGCCGATGTGAAGGAGCTCATCCCAGAATTCTTCTACTTTCCTGACTTCCTGGAGAACCAGAACGGTAGGCGTGAGGTGCTGGCACTGGAGCAGGCAGGTGTGGGGATGGAGAGCAGATGGTGGAGTGGCCAGGGGGCAGTTGGGATGGACAGGGAGACAGCTGACGCAGTCCTTTGTGCCAGGTTTTGACCTGGGCTGTCTCCAGCTGACCAACGAGAAGGTGGGCGATGTAGTGCTGCCCCCGTGGGCCAGCTCTCCTGAGGACTTCATCCAGCAGCACCGCCAGGCTCTGGTGAGGAAGCAACCACAGGCAAATGGCAGGCAGCCGGGGTTCTGAAGGTCATGGGGCGTCAGCCGTCCCTGCACTGATTGCTGCCTCCCTACTCCCAGGAGTCGGAGTATGTGTCTGCCCACCTGCACGAGTGGATCGACCTCATCTTTGGCTACAAGCAGCGGGGGCCAGCTGCCGAGGAGGCCCTCAATGTCTTCTATTACTGCACCTATGAGGGTGGGCAGTGTGCTGGACTCTAGTCGGGGCCAGGACAAAATCAGGAGGGGTGGATGCAGAGGGCACGTGGGGAGCCCTGACTGCTCTGCCTACCTTCCCAGGGGCTGTAGACCTGGACCATGTGACAGATGAGCGGGAACGGAAGGCTCTGGAGGGTATTATCAGCAACTTTGGGCAGACTCCCTGTCAGCTGCTGAAGGTAAAGCCAGCTTAGAGGATAGTGGCCAGGGATGCCCACGCCATGGTGCTGACCAGCCACTTGCCCACAGGAGCCACATCCAACTCGGCTCTCAGCTGAGGAAGCAGCCCATCGCCTTGCACGCCTGGACACTAACTCACCTAGCATCTTCCAGCACCTGGACCAACTCAAGGCATTCTTTGCAGAGGTGAGAGGAAGACAGGACCTCAACTTTATATTATGTGAAATGGGTTTAACCCCACTGTCCTTACCAACCACTTGGGGCAGATGGGAACCCTAATCAAGGTCACTGATTTCAAAGCACCTTAGAAAATGAGCTAAACATGGGAAGAGTATGGGGGCAGGAGGGGTGCTCTTCTCATCAGGGCCAGGATAAAGTGTTGACTCACCTAACAAGCTCTGAAAGCCTTAGGGAGATCAGGAGGGAGGAGATCTGTCCTTGGACCCCTTCCATCGCCTTCCTAGGCAGGAACATTCCTGAATGTTGCCCCCAGGCCTGACTTTTTTTTAGGTTTCCCTCTCTTCCTGCCTTTGGGCTAGGGGGACAAGGAATAACAGGGTGGGAGGACCAAGGTTGAAACTAAGCGTGATACTCTGGAAGCACCTTCCATGTCTGTCCCAGCTTCTCACCCACTTTCTGAGATGCCCTCCTAAAGTCTCTGCCTGTTGCTTGGAGGGACCTCTGCATCTGTGATACCTACTCCGTGACCCCTGGGGACTGAGGGTAAAGGAAGGGATGATGCTTCAGGGAGAAGATAGTGTAATCTGATAGTACTCAGGCATAGCTAGGCCTGCCCTTGTCCCTGCAGGTCGTCAGTGATGGTGTACCCCTGGTGCTAGCTCTGGTCCCCCACCGGCAGCCCCACTCCTTCATCACCCAGGGTTCCCCAGACCTGTTGGTAAGTGCATTGTGCAGAGCCCTAGCTCAGCTCCACTCCCCCTCTGCCTCTGCCACAAACCCATCTCTGCCCCCTCCTGCCTTCAGGTGACCGTGAGTGCCAGTGGGCTGCTGGGTACCCACAGCTGGTTGCCCTATGACCGCAACATAAGCAACTACTTCAGCTTCAGCAAAGACCCCACCATGGGCAGCCACAAGTAGGACAGAGGGCTGTGGGTGGGGTGGGCTACAAATGCTCTGCACCCTGAATTATTCCTCTCCCTAATCAGAATGTAGGCCAGCTGCAGGGGAAAGGTCTGACCAGGCTCCCTGAGGGCCTGGGTCTCTTCCATGTGGCCTGGCCTCACTTGTCATCCCCCTCACTGGGTCAGGACGCAGCGACTGCTGAGTGGCCCATGGGTGCCAGACAGTGGTGTGAGCGGACAAGCACTGGCAGTGGCCCCTGACGGAAAGCTGCTATTCAGCGGTGGCCACTGGGATGGCAGCCTGCGAGTGACTGCACTATCCCGTGGCAAGCTGTTGAGCCAGCTCAGCCGCCACCTTGGTATGAACAGCCTTGGAGGCACGCAGGTATGGGGCCGGGTTCTGAGGCTGGCCGGGGTGGATGTGATTCCTCCATTTTGCCTGTACCCTCCCCTTCCCGTGCAGATGTAGTAACCTGCCTTGCACTGGACACCTGTGGCATCTACCTCATCTCAGGCTCCCGGGACACCACATGCATGGTGTGGCGGCTCCTGCATCAGGTGTGCCTGATGGGCAGCTCTGTGGGGTCCCCATAGCCCAGACCTACAGCCCATCCATCCCTCGGTGGCCTTCCGGTCCTGCCCTCCTGTCTTTCCCTTCCCTTTGCTACCATGAGCAAGTCTGGGGTTCCATGACCCTCCAGCTCTCTAGTCTTGGACAAGGCCTTCGTTTCCTGAGCCTCAGGGGCCAGTCCTAAGCCAACCCTGGTCATCCACAGGGTGGTCTGTCAGTAGGCCTGGCACCAAAGCCTGTGCAGGTCCTGTATGGGCATGGGGCTGCAGTGAGCTGTGTGGCCATCAACACTGAACTTGACATGGCTGTGTCTGGATCTGAGGTGTGTGTATGCATGTGCCCTGGGGAGGGTGAGTTTGCTGGGCAATCCCCCTGGAGCCCAGATTCCTGCCCAGGACCCTAAGTTGCCTTCCTGCAGGATGGAGCTGTGATCATACACACTGTACGCCGTGGCCAGTTTGTGGCAGCACTACAGCCTCCGAGTGCCTCAGTGCCTGGACCTATTTTCCACCTGGCATTGGGGTCCGAAGGCCAGATTGTGGTACAGAGCTCAGCGTGGGAACGTCCTGGGGCCCAGGTATGGGGAAGGGGTACCCAGCAAAGATGGAGGGGCAGTTGGGATCCTGTCCTTGCTGACACTCCCTGCTTCCTCCAGGTCACCTACTCCTTGCACCTGTATTCGGTCAATGGGAAGTTGCGGGCTTCACTGCCCCTGGCAGAGCAGCCTACAGCCCTGACGGTGACAGAGGACTTTGTGTTGCTGGGCACCGCCCAGTGCGCCCTGCACATCCTCCAACTAAACACGTAAGCCACCCCCCCCATTTATGGGTTCATGGCCCCTGAAGGTTGTGGTCATTGGTGTAGAATAAAGCGGGGGGGATTCCCCCTAGGAATCCACACACCATACATGTTTGTGGGCACATATTTCAAGGTTTGTTACCTGTCCCCTCATCTTCCCATAGGGAGGTCTTGCCCTGGGCCTCGGCTTAGCCACAGTTGTGAGAGATTTCTTTGTGTATAAAAGTTTCAATTTAGCCATCCTTAAAATGAGGACAGAGAGGGTATATGGGATAAGGGATATCTGCTGGTCGCAAAGCCCCCTTGCAGTCGCAAGCTGGTGTATATCCCCTCTCCCTTCCAGACTGCTCCCGGCCGCGCCTCCCCTGCCCATGAAGGTGGCCATCCGCAGCGTGGCCGTGACCAAGGAGCGCAGCCACGTGCTGGTGGGCCTGGAGGACGGCAAGCTCATCGTGGTGGGCGCCGGGCAGCCTTCTGAGGTGAGGATGGGGCGAGGGTGGGGAGGCCCCTCGAACGGGGCGGGGCGCAGCGCGGCGGTCCCAGCTGACCCTACTCAACCCTTACGCCCACCAGGTGCGCAGCAGCCAGTTCGCGCGGAAGCTGTGGCGGTCCGCGCGGCGGATCTCCCAGGTGTCCTCGGGAGAGACGGAATACAACCCTGCTGAGGCGCGCTGAACCTGGCCAGTCCGGCTGCTCGGGCCCCGCCCCCGACGGGCTTGGCCCGGAAGGCCCCGCCCAGAAGTCGACGGGAACACCCCGGGGTGGGCCGCCCAGGGGGTGGGCGGGGCCCCACCCTGCCCAGCTCAGGGATTGGCGGGCGATGTTACTCCCTCAGGGATTGGCGGGCGGAAGTCCTGCCCCTCGCCGGCTGAGGGGCGGCCCTGAGAGTCAGCGCTGGCGTCTGCGGCCGTAGCAGCACTTTTTGCACAGTCTGGGTCGGGGTTCCCCGGCTTCCAAGTCCCGGTTTCGTCAGAGCACGAGGGCCGCCTGTGGCCTTAATTCCTAACGGCGGCCCCGGTTCTCCCTTATCGGCAATAAACCTGGCCTAGTTTTGTAGCTGCTCTGTCTCCGACTGTGCGTGCACGCGCGGTGTCTCGGGTCGCGGTCTCAGTCTGGCCTGGCTCGCGTTCCCTTGGCCCGTGACCCCCTCTGGGCTCACTCGCCCCCCTCCGCGTGGCCGTCGCTGAACTGGGGCCTCAGTTTCCCCGGCCGTGCAGCCCCTGCCCCACATCTCGCCCCGGCTCGTGGTTTCCCCAAGATTTCATCTCTTCATCCGGTCGCCCTCGCACGCCATTCGTCCAAGACCGCAACCCGGCCAGGCGTCCCGCAAGCGCGTTTGCATTCCTTCGCCGGGCGGGGGCGACAACACCTGAGGCCGCGCCCCTCCAGCTTGGCCCTGCCCCCTCATTGTCTTGCCTACTTCTTGGGCCGCCCTGTAGCGCTGCTGTGGTCGCGAGGTTGGGGTTGGGGGCCAGAACCACCCCAGAGACTCCACGTTGTCTTCTCGGAGGGCTCGGTCGTGCCCTGCTGAGTGGATCCATCCTGGCGGCCACCGGTCAGGAGGAGTTAGGGGCAGAGCCCTTGCTGAGTGGAGGGAGCCGGGGGCTGCCTCTCTGTCCCCCAACTCCAGACTCGTGATCCTGCAGGTGTTGTGTGTGCTGGTGTCGGCGTGTGCATGAGAAGTCAGGGTGGTGTGGGTGTGCAGGGTGGTTGCATTGTGTGTGCGTATTCGTGGGCCTGGAGACGGATGGGAGGTGGGACGGGTTCCGTCCCCGCTGCTCAGAGTGGGCTGGGCGGAAGCCAGGCCTGTCTGCTGCTGCGTCCTGGTCACAAGCCCATCGACCATCCAGGATCTTGCAGGGTCCCTTAATGTAAGTGACACAAATGTACACACCCCACATGTGGCAAGGGCCACCAGGTCGCACACACTTGGCCACAGCACTGTGTTGCTGACTTAGCCATACACATGGGGACATGGTGTGGGATAGACTGGTACCCAGTATGTGGTGGTGGATACTGGGGAGTTGGAGGGCCTTCCCGGGTGTCTCCTCCATTCCTTGTCTCCAGGCAAGCTCTCCTTAGTCTAGACGAGGAGCTTCTCTTCCTCAAACCTTAGGAAGTGGGTCCCATCAGATTCAGCCCTATAGGATCCAGGTAGGACTGAGTAGTCCTATCCTTTGAGTCTTAGGCCCTCTCTGAATTTCTGGATGAAGCAGGATCAACTAGGGGATCTCTGGGCCCGTATCCTCCATTCCCTTGCTGAACCCACCAAGTTAGCATTCCACCCAGTTCCTGATCAGGAGAGGGCTGGACACTGACCCTTGAGGAAGGACTGCGAGCATGGTCACTGCAGAAAGTCCTCCTGCCTTGGGGCTTCAGGATGTTGGGTTCCTGAGCTATAGCTGAAAAGCCTGGCAGTGAGCCTCCCACTGGCCAGTACGTCTCTCCAGCCTGGTTCTGGCTAAGATGGAGCTAGAAGGCATGTCTCCCCTATCCTCCCTACCATCCCTGGACTCAGACCAAGTCTTTCGCAACATCTTTGAGACAGGGTGGTTTCCAACCTGTTTTCCATCCTGAATTGTACCTGACACTTCTAACTTTGGCCAGCTGGGACCACCTCTGTCACCTCCACCCCATCTGACACAGGAGGAAACTGGTCCAGCGCTAGAGTGAATCAGGTTGAAGTGAGAAAAGGGGGACAGACTACCCCAAGGGACTGCCAACGTCAGGCCTGGAGATTTCCCCCATATTCCTCCTGCACACAGCCCTTTTTGGACTGAGAGAAGCAGCTCCCAGCTCCCCTGCCTGGGGGCTGCCTAAAACTCTCTAACCTCTTCTCCAAGAAACAGCCCCAGGGAGCATTACCCACTAACAGCCATGCTTCACAACTCTAGCCACAGCAAAGGCCTGGCCTATGTGGGTAAGCATCCCTTGATTCAGATCATGGGCACCAGGCAGGCTGAGAGGTACCCCAAGTGGGTAGGTCACACCCAAGTCCAGCCATAGGTTCTGGAGTCTCTCAGATCCTGTGTACCCTGACTGCACTAGATCGGGAGGACAAGTCGCTTCCAGGCAGAAGAAAGCAACAACACTTCCTTTCCAGTTCAGCTTTATTTTGCAAAAATTTACAAGGCCTCCTTTGCACAGAGATGCTTGTGGGGACCACATGAATCAATGTGCCCTCACAGTCCAGACTTAGTGGCAGAGACAGGACACAAGTGCCGTGGTAGACAGTGCCATGGTCTTTCTTCCTGTGCCCTGGATAATTGGATTAAAAAAAATTGGATTTAGTGCTGTGGTAGACAGGAGTGCAAATGGACCCCCAAAAGGAAGAGATCGAGGAAGTCTTCCCAGAGTAGAAGATTTTTGCCAGTATGCCAGATGGAGAACGGAGATTGGCAAGAGCAGAAGTCTGGAAGGTTATGAGAACAGGGTAGGAAGGACAAGGTGTCCAGAGTGGTAAGCAAAGGGGAAGTAGATGAAAATGGAAAAATAGGCCAGACAGCTCCTGATGCTGTGGTATAAGCTTTTGACTCTACATAGTAGGGACCACTGGCTTCAAACCTTTTCGGCAACAAAGTTTAGGTGAGGCTACCTAGGGACCCTAGCCTTGGTTCCGTGCTCCTGACCTGATCTGTCTTTTCTTCCACAGGTAAGATCCTGAGGAGGCAGGAGAGGGACAGGGAAGGAGTATGGGTAGGGGCAGGGGGAGCCCTGTACCCCAATACTTCCCCTTTCCTCCTGGAGCCTCCAGTGTCTCAGGCGCATCATCCCAGTCTACTGTACCCTCCTGGCCACTGTGGTCCTCGGTCTGCTTGCCTATGTGGCCTTCAAGTGGTAGGTGGTCTGGGCACTGCCTTGTGGCACCCCCTTCCCTGTCTGGACTCCCAACCAATTCCCTGTCTTGAAGGTGGGGGCAGGTCGGTAGGTCTCCCTTTCTCCCCACAGCTGGCGCTCACATAGACAAAGACAGCAGCTGGCCAAAGCTCGAACTGCAGAGCTGGGAGGTCTCAACAAGGACCAGATGCATGGGGATAGCAGTGTCTTCCTGGACTCTCCTAGCAGTCTGGAACCCTGTGCCTCCAACCAGGGTGAGCCCCTTTCCCAGAACTGCCTCACCACCCAGCCCTTGTGTGGTCCTCATATCTCCTGCCTCAGGACCACATCCTGAGTTTGGGTGCCAACTTTACCTTGATCTCCCTCGGCAGCACCAGGAGAAAGTGGAGCGGCTGCTAGAGGTGTCAGTTGAAACTGACAAGGGCTGGCGGGGACTGGCAGACCATCTGGGCTACCAGGCTGAGGCTGTAGAAATCATGGCCCAAGGCCAGGTGCGAGCCTACACACTGCTGAGGGACTGGGCTATCCAAGAAGGCAGTGGCGCCACCCACAAGGTGCTAGAGAATGCCCTGGTTGCCATGGGCCAGGAAGATGTGGTCCAGGTCCTGGGCCCCCAAGCTGAGGGCTGCTCTGTGGCATTAGTGCTGCCTCCATAGCCTGGCTCCTCGGAGCCTGCTCCGGTGCTCCCGTACCCCCATCTCATGTATCCCTTCATGGGCTTCCTGGGGTTGCTGGGCTCAGCCTGCTCTGTTCTGGAGAAGAAAACCGAAGATCCAGCCACCATTCACTTCCCCTCACCCACCCATCCCCTCCAGAAGAGGCCCCAGGATATGGCAGGGAAGTGGGCAGTGAGGAGTGGTCCTGCCCTTTGGATCCCTACTCCACCTCCTCTTAAGCCTCAGCTGGTTTTGCTACTTATGTAACCCGTATTAAAGGTGGTTCGGACTTTTCCGCTGGCTCTATCTGGCTCCTTGGGCCTGTGAGACAGCTGGGTGGGTGGCTATGAGGGAGAGGCCCAGAAAAGGGCTGGGGGTCCCTAGGCTGTGGGAGGGCCCTCTCTAAGCAGCACCTGGGATGGCAGGGACTGTGATCCTATAGAAGATGCATGGGCTCTGGAGGCACAGATCAGAGTTCATATCCTGCGCCTACCATTTGCTGGCTTTATCCTGTTTGGAAGCTTTTTTACCTTGCTGATTATTTTACCTTGGTATTTTATCAACTTCCTTAGCTGGAGAACAGTAAGTTTAGGTGACACTTTCAGTAGTTTCCCCCACACCTAAGACTCCCAGGTTGGTGCTGAGGGACCCCGGGTTTGAGATCAATTTCCTGACTTGTTCTGTGAGCAGCACCAAGGGGAGGCTGGAGGCCTGTTCCTCTAGACAGGAGGCAAGAAGCAGGCTGGTCCTGAGCAGTTAATTACCAAGGGCCTCAGGTCACCTCTAGATAAGAAAAAAGAAAACACTCTTTACAAGACCTGAACTCAGGACAAGGCATTCCAAATGTACTTCCACATCTGCTCATGTGGTTGCTGCACACACCAAGAACAGGTGGGTCTCCTGGGCAGCTCAGGACAAGGCAGGTGCAGCCAAGTCCATGCATATGCACTCCATGCATATGCCCACCCCAAAGGGTAGAGGCAGGTAGGTTGGCACAGTAAGTGCCTTTTGAAGAAGGTGCTATAAAAGACAAGCCCTGCCTAGGAAGAAACAATGCCTACTATCCTGGCATCTACCAGCATAAGTAGGCTTCAGAGGCACAGCCGTCCAAACTCAGAAGACATGGGTTCCAGTCATGGTCTAGTGGGGCCCAAGGTAGATCCTGTCCCTCTGCTGACACGAGATGCAACTGAGATTGACTACTCTGTGAGTACCAAGCTCATCAGACTGCTGCTACTGCTACCCTCAGAAATAGTTGACCAGGGCTGCTTAACACTCCGTAAATCTTACCCTTAAACTAAGGAAGAACCGGAAGTTTATAGCCACCTTCCTCCACAGATGACCTTAGGGCAATAACCCTGAAGAACCAGGAGAGAAAGCAGGGAAGATACGCACCAGCTGTTGGAGACATCATAAGCTGGAGCTTTGGGTCAAAACCATGCATTTGATTTGGTTGCAAGCAGCAGTGCATGTGGTTGTACCCCTGCACTGCAAACCCACTGAAAAGAGAAATGCCCCCTTTCAATGTGCTTAAGCACATTAACTAAAATATTCTCTGTAACAGACATAATTCCAAGACGTTAGGAGGGTTGAGCAAATTACAATCTGTGCATGTGATGTAACAATATGCTTTAGCCCGGGCACGGTGACTCGTGCCTGTAATCCCAGCACTTTGGAAGGCCAAGGGGAGTGGATCACCTGAGGTCAGGAGTTCGAGACTAGCCTGACCAACATGGAGAAACCCCGTCTCTACTAAAAATACAAAATTAGCTGGGTATGGTAGTGCATGCCTGTAATCCCAGCTACTAGGGAGGCTGAGGCAGGAGAATCGCTTGAACCTGGGAGGCAGAGGTCACAGTGAGCCGAGATCATGCCACTGCACTCCAGCCTGGAGAACAAGAGCGAAACTCCGTCTCAAAAAAAAAAAAAAAAAAAAAAAAAAAAAAAAAAAGCCGGGCGGTGGCTCAAGCCTGTAATCCCAGCACTTTGGGAGGCCGAGACGGGCGGATCACGAGGTCAGGAGATCGAGACCATCCTGGCTAACCTGGTGAAACCCTGTCTCTACTAAAAAATACAAAAAACTAGCCGGGCGAGGTGGCGGGCACCTGTAGTCCCAGCTACTTGGGAGGCTGAGGCAGGAGAATGGCGTGAACCCGGGAGGCGGAGCTTGCAGTGAGCTGAGATCCGGTCACTGCACTCCAGCCTGGGCGGCAGAGCGAGACTCTGTCTCAAAAAAAAAAAAAAAAAGGGGGGGGGGCTTAAAACAGTTTTGAAGGCTGCAGTATCATGAGAAAACAATAGCATGTCTAAGTTTAAAATAAGGATTTTCCCCTCTTTTAACACTTCCTTTAATACAAGGATATTAAAAGAGTTACTAAACCTCTCTGACCCTTAGTTTTCCTCATCATAGTGCCAATTCCTGTGCCTCAGGACTGTGACCACAACCTGAGCTCTAAGTGCTCAGCACAGTGCCTAGCAGGCAGTGACTGCTCTAATTGCTACTCACCCTGCCAAAGATTTGGCAGGCCACAACCTGACCTGACCTCAAGAACACTGCTGCAGCCGGGCGCGGTGGCTCACGCCTGTAATCCCAGCACTTTGGGAGGCCGAGGCGGGCGGATCACGAGGTCAGGAGATCGAGACCATCCTGGCTAACACGGTGAAACCCCGTCTCTACTAAAAATGCAAAAAATTAGCCGGGCGAGGTGGCGGGCGCCTGTAGTCCCAGCTACTTGGGAGGCTGAGGCAGGAGAATGGCGTGAACCCGGGAGGCGGAGCTTGCAGTGAGCCGAGATTGCGCCACTGCACTCCAGCCTGGGCGACTAAGCGAGACTCTGTCTCAAAAAAAAAAAAAAAAAAAAACACTGCTGCAGTGGGCAGAATAACCCTGGTGAGAAACAGGCGGGACCAACCTTTTTGCAAAGATGGGCCCCAGTCTGTCCTGAAGCCCCCTGTCTTTCTCACTGCCTAGATAACTGATCCAGCAAGTAGGAGAGAGGTCTCTCACGAAGCCCTGCATCTTCCTGGAAATGTTCACTATCATCATAACCTGTGTACTATACCTCTTTTATAGGGGTCCTATTCTGTCCTCTAGTGTCCAACCCCAGTGTTAGGGAGCACAGTTGGAAGCTAGGGAACCCAAACATCAAATGAGCATTTCAAACCATATGTCGCAACACTTTGGGATTCAAAAGCAGGAGCATTACTTGAGGCCAGGAAGTCAGACCAGCTTGGGTAACACAGCAAGACCCTGCGTCTCTACAAAAAAATTTTTTTAAATATTAGCTAGTAGTCCTAGCTACTCCAGAGGCTGAGGCAAGAAGATTGCTTGGGCCCAAGAGTTCAGGGATGCAATGAGCTATGATCACACCACTACACTCCAGCCTGGGCAACAGAGCGAGACCCTGTCTCTGCCCCAAAAAAAAGCATTCCAGTGGGCTTAGAAAAATCAAGTCCATGGGGGGAAAAGATTTCAATGCTTCTCTCCACCCAGGAGAAAGTATCAAGGGAGACGATAAATTTGCCTTTCTCTTGACTGATGATTAACCAAAATAAAGAAGCCTAGTGCCAAAGATGCCCTAGATGCTGCTTCTTTTGCTCTGGAATGCATGTGCAAATTGACCCAATGCCTGAGCACAGTCATAAGATCCCAAGCCTACAAGTGTCAGTCACCTGGCAAACGTCTGCCTAAGTCAGAGTAGGACCTGTGGAGAATGAACAAGTCCTGTAATAAAATACAATCACAGGGATTAACCTTGGACTTCACACATCTAAGGCCACTATCTCTCCTTTTTCCAGTGATATCATTACACACAAATATGCTCAATTAACTTTTAGGGAACACACATGCCAATTTCTTTAATTGATTTTATTTTTTTACATAAAAAGTTCAGTAAAAATTGGATAAAGTAAAGTGATTTTAAGCAGTAAATCATTCTTATCAACATAGCACAAGGCTGGCCAAAACCACAAGGCAGCCTGCTTTGGAATATTTACATGATAACAAATTAAACCTTGCAGGAGAACTTAAACTGTCCTTACAAAGTCTTCCTGTGATCCTAGCATGTAGAGGCTAAAAGCAAAATGAAAACCAAACAAAAACCAGGAAAAAACAAATTATTTTCAATATATTCACATATACATTAAAATATAATACAGATCATCAGGGTAAAGGGTTGTGGGTGGGGATGCGCATGGGTCTGTGCGCTGACAGCACCGCCAAGGAGGAGACCCAGGTTTAAGAGTGGAGTCAGGTCTGGCCAGGGTCTTTTCTAAGCCCTTGCACCTCTGATGGCTTCTAACCACATGCCAACAGCTCACAACTAGGTAATCACTTGTAGATGGAGTTCATTTTTGTGGCCTTCGGTTGACATCTTCAGGGTTGAATTCCCCAGGGTGATGTGTCATCAGTAGCACAGTGCTGACAGGGGTGGGACAGAAAGGCCCACAGGATTTCCTCTCCCTAGAGTCTGTCTTACCTGACCACCCATCCTCCCACCCTGGCCCAACAGTCACTCTAACTCAGTGTCCTCTTTGGGTTTGTAAACAGCCCCAAACTTTTGCATGTACTTCTTAATGTACTCCTTGGTTTTGTGTTTCACATTCTCATTGCACTCCAGGTCCTCAGGATTCTTACAGTACTTCAGCTCCTTATTCATAACACCGTGAGTCAGCTGTCCAGGGCACAGGAAGAGAGACCACAGCCACCAATCAGAGCAGAAACGATTTGAGGGGGAGGACAGGGGTGGTAATCCAGCCTGCTGCTTCAGGGCCCTTCTCACCAAGACAGGAAGTTAATAAGGGGGTAGATGTTGGGGCAGACTGGTGCTAGGATCACCAGAAAGGATAAGCTGAGCTCTGAAAATTTCTTAGAGAACTACTGCTCTCATGTAAGGGTGTGCATCCCTCCCCAAACCTCCCCTCCCCGTTCCTGGGTCCCCAGCCCTGACATCTGACAAGAAGAAAAAAAAAAAACTTTCTATGATGAAAAGGGCTTCTTAGAAAGTACACAGTTTGCCCAGAACGTTGCCTGGTGGGCTACCAAAAGCAAGGGGAGTACCTTGCGAGCCAGATGTTTAAAGTCTTCAGTTGTGGTAATTCTTCCCACTTTACAGTCAGGTTTCCGGTAAGGGTTCAGGCACTGGACGATGAACTGGGACATCTGCAGGCAAAGAAAAAAGAACACATTGCTCAACAGTCCAGAGAGGGCGAGGAGTTGTACTGAGGAAATAACTAGAAAAGGTAGTGAGTAAAGCCAGCCAATCCTTTCTCCCTCAGGTTGGCTGGTTTGGAC